ATTTTTTTTTTCCTTTGGGACAACCAATATTCTAATTTCTTGTATAGCCTTTCTTTAAAAAGTAGAACATAATGGGAGCACCTGCCTGGGTGGCTCAGTTGGTTAATCATCCGACTTTTGATTTTGGCTCAGGTCATGATCTCATGGTTCATGGGTTCGAACCCTGAGTCAGGCTCCACACTGAGAGTGAGGAGCCTGCCTGGGAATCTCCCTCTCCCTCTCTCTCTGCCCCTCCCCTACTTGTGCTCTCTCTCTCCCAAAATAAATAAACAAACTTAAAAAAAAGAACAAAATGAATGCTATTTTAAAAAATTTATGTGAAGCAAAACTTGCAGCGCCATTTATCATTAATATGGTACGTATTTTGTCCAGTGCCTTCCATTCATCTTTAACACCCTAGGGGGAAAAGAATCTATGATTATCCAGTTAATACTTACACCAGCTCATCAGCCCTTTGGCTTCTATTTTGAAGTGTGCTCTTATCCCTAGACTCTGGCAAGTACTCATGAAGTTTGTTCACTAGGAAATAGAAAAGGTCACTGGTCTGTGAAAGCAAGCAGGAAAGAAGATGGTAAATAAGTTATCAGATGGTAAAACTCTATCTTTACATAATAAAAATATGAAGAAATTATTCTCTGGGGACGAAGTGAATTAAAATATCTCTCATTAATATTAGCATAATCCGAACTGAAAACACTTTTACTTACCACCGGGAAACAGACCACTGTTCTGGTGAACAGAGCCAGAGCTAAAGCCTAGGGGTGATGCTGAGAGATGCTTAATAGGCTTGGCTCTCCGGTTAATATTGAAGGCCCTCTAGAAGTAGGTGTTTAATCTCAGGCAAGTCATTTACTTACCTGGGAATAATATATTAAATGGAGGCTACTCTAATTCCTGTCTTTCCAAAGTAATTTGGCCTTTGTGAGGATACAATGAAATAAGGGCTAGAAAAACACTTTTAAAAATGTTTGCTAACCTGGGGCGCCTGGGTGGCTCAGTCGGTTAAGCGTCCGACTTCGGCTCAGATCATGATCTCACGGTTCATAGGTTCGAGCCCCGCATCAGGCTCTATGCTGACAGCTCAGAGCCTGGAGCCTGCTTTGGATTCTGTGTCTCCCTTGCTCTCTGCCCTTCCCCTGCTTGTGCTCTGTCTCTCTCTGTCTTTCAAAAATAAATAAATGTAAAATAAATAAATATATATATTTACTAACCTAAAAGCAAACTCACAGCATTGGTGTAGCCTAATGAAGATGGTGGAGAATGATACTAATAATTCTGTTAATACAGCATATTTCCATCTCTGCCAAAATAAACACAGACTTAAGAGTGCAGGAACCAAATTTTTTGTGCTGCTATGCCGTCTCTTGAGATAAATCGAGCATGAAGTAAGCACTGGCCCATGAAATCAGGCAAGTTGGTACTAATTAGAAATATAATGTAATTGCTTCTCTTTTCTGTCCCTCTCTTGTTCGTTTTCTTCCCCAGGACTTTTGTTTACTAGTGACAAATTAGACTCTTTGTTTAGACAGGTATTATGGGTGCCTGTATATAGGTGATCTGGCATGAGAAGAGGCTGAGGATGGCAGGTGGAGAGAGGGACCAGAGGAGAAGGAGCAGGATGCATAGCAGACCCTCTCAGAAGGGCTGCTGTTTACTCACTGCCCTGGTAAATTAGCACGGTTGGTGGCTCTGCACACTAGCTCTGGTGCCTAGTTCTTTCAGTTCATATCCCAGCTCTGCCATGGGTCAGCTTTGTCATATTTGGCAAATTACATACACACTGTATGACTCAGGTTATGTCTAAGATGGAATTAATGTCACCTGATGGGACGGAAATAAGATAGTATTTGTAGGGGCTTCTGGGTGGCTCAGTCGGTTAAGCATCTGACTTCGGCTCAGGTTGTGATCTCACACTCCGTGAGTTCAAGCCCCACATTGGCCTCTGTGCTGACAGCTCAGAGCCTGGGGCCTGCTTCGGATTCTGTGTCTGCCTCTCTCTCTGCCCCTCTCCAGCTCGTGCTCTGTCTCTCTCTCCCTCAAAAATAAATAAAAACATTTTTTAAAAGAGAAAGAAATAGAATTACCATATGATTCAGCAATTCAGAACTGAAAGAGTCTCAAAGAGGTATTTACACACCCATATTCATAATGGTAATGTTCACAATAGCTTAAACATGGAAGCAACCCAAGTATCCATCAATGGAGAATGGATAAGCAAAATGTGTTATATACATAAATGGAATATTACTCAGCCTTAAAAACAAGCAAATTCTGACATATGCTACAACATTGATGATCCTAGAAGACATGATAAGTAAAATAAGCCAGTCACAAAAAGACAAATACTGGATGGTTCCACTTACATGAAATATTTGAGAAGTTAAATTCATAGAAGTAGAAAGAAGAATGGTGTTGCCAGAGGCCGCGTGAAGTGGGGGAATGAGGAGTTATTGTTTGATGAGTATAGTTTCAGTTTTGCAAGATGAAAAGAGTTCTGGAGAGGCTCCAACAGTATACAGGACCTACTTAAAATCACTGGACGATACATTTAAAAATGGCTAAGATAGGGACACCTGAGTGGCTCAGTCCATTACGCGTCTGACTTCAGCTCAGGTCCTGATCTCACGGTTCGTGGGTTCGAGCCCTGCATCGGGCTCTTTGCTGATAGCTGAGTCTAAAGCCTGCTTCAGATTCTGTGTCTCCTCTCTTTGCCCCTCCCCTGCTTGTGCTCTCTCCCTCTCTCTCTCTCAAAAATGAACATTAAATTTTTTTTCTTTTAATGGTTAAGATGGCAAATTCTATGTTTATGTGTATTTTACCACAATAAAAAATAATGTTGAGAAAAAAAAACTTCATGGAGAAAAAATAAAGGGTTAAGAAGGAACATGAACAGAGAATTCTTTCATTCACTCATTCATTGACTGAACACATAACTACAGATTATCAGCTATGTAGCAGGAACTGTACTAGGTAATGAGATAACATCTTGAGCAAAGCAGACAAACAAACATGGTGTCCACAATCCTAAAGCTTACAATTTAGTCGACCTATGAAAAAATGTTCTCATAATTTAAAATTTACTTGTAAGAAAATTGTTTAAAAAAAAAAAGATTACCTTAAAGAAAATTATACCCCATACAGTTGATTTCAAAAGGGGACATTGTGTGTGTATGTGTGTGTGTGTGTGTGTGTGTGTGTGTGTATTTATAGTACATAATATATTTATATAAAATTATATATATTTGTAAAATTTTATTTATATGAAACTATTATATGTATGATTTTTTATCATCTTACTCAGGAACCAAAAATTCGAGATGCCTCTAATCTCCCCACGCCAGTGTGGGTTCCTGAGGAAGTTTCACACAACCTTATGTTCACCAGGGAGCCCAGCACAAAGTTGCAAAACCACTGCTTAAGCTTAAAGCCATAATAACTTTAAAGAAAAAAGCTCCTAAAAGAAGATAAAAATGTTGACTTTTATTAGTTATATATGTTAACTTTGTATAAATGAATGTAAGATTGTGGTTGTGGATTAGAGAGAACATAAGGCTACCAGGTCTTGGAAGCATGGTGGGGAGGAGAACGAGGTACCCCACTAAGTGTGGGGAGACCACAAATAGGGAGACTGCCCATATAACTTTTATTTCCCTCTCTCTTCATTTTGGCCTCTCATTTTTGACAACTGAATTAGAAGACCTATTTTAATCCATCTAAGGACATTACATTAAAGAAGGGCTGCAGTATTTTCTTTTTTTTTAAATGTGTATCTGTTTATTTTTGAGAGATAGAGACAGACAGAGAGGGAGACAGAGAATCCCAAGCAGGCTCTGCGCTGTCAGCACAGAGCCCAGTGCAGGGTCCAAACTCACCAACTGTGAGATCATGACCCGAGCCGAGATCAAGAGTTGAGCACTTAACTGACTAAGCCACCCTGCGCCCCTGCAGTATTTTCAGTTAAGCAACAGAACGTGAATGCTTTATTCCTAGATTTCTGATCCGGTTAATTTTTCACAAGACAATAAACTTTCAGTTCAATACGAATTGATTATGGGACCTGGTATACGCATGGCACACGTTAGACCTTAGGGTGAATACGAAGATGATGAGTAAGACACATGCCTGTCCTGAAGAAGCTTATAGCATACAAGGGTAAATTTTAAAATTTGCCAAAAACTGTAGTAAAAAGGAGACTTTCTGAGCTAATTCTTGAGGGTAGGAACTGTGTCTTACTCATGCTCACATTTCTAATGCCTATTCCCGTTCCTGGCCTAGAGCAGTCATGTAATACATATTTGTTGAATTGTTAGAAGGTGCTGAGATACCATAGAACTGCATTGTCCAACACAGTAGCCACTGGTCACATGGCACTACTTAAATTTAAATCGATTAAAATGGTGGGGCGCCTGGGTGGCTCAGTCGGTTAAGTATCCAACTCTTGATTTCAGTTCAGGTCATGATCTTACAGTTCGTGAGTTCAAACCCTGCGTCAGGCTTTGCACTAACAATATGGAGCCTGCTTGGGATTCCCGCCCGCTTTGCCCCTCCCCCACTCACAATTCCCACCCCCCCCTTCTTGAAAATAAATAAACATTCTTTTAAATTTCACTTCCCTAGTCACTGGCCACATTCATTGTGGCTAGTGGCTACTTTATTGAACAGCATAGATTAAAGAACATCAAAGAAAGTTCTATGGTACAGGACTGCCAAAACAGATGAGAAAGAGGAGGGTTCCAAAGTTCCCCATAGAGGATGACAGGAAAGGCAGAAGAACGGCATTTGAGCTGAGCCTTGAAGAATGGATGGTAGGATTTTAACAGGAGAAAATGGAAGAAGGAGTAGCCTAGAGATAACAGCAGGGGAAACGAGGAGGGGCTGGAAGGACAAGGTGTTCAAGTCACCCCACGAGGCTGGAGCTTTTAGAGGAAAGAGACGAAAGCAAGGAAGTGTGGGGTTGAGTGGGTTAGGCCCAGCCTCATTCTCTTTCTTTGGCTCCACAGCCAAGGCCATCTGCATCAGGCACATTGGAAGATTGGACATGCTTAAGAAACCTCGAGGCCAACGCTCTGATATTCAGCATCAACACCCTTCTTGCTAGTCTAACCTGTAAGTGGTACCTCAGTTCTCCTACCTAGACATCTGCTTTAAATCCAGTCCCCTGATTGTGTCTGGTTTATCTAAGTGGACATCTGTGAGCCCAGTGTGAAGTCCTTTGCTAGTCCTCTCCCAGCTGCTAGGTTTACACTGGACAATCTTTATATCCTTGCCACCTCCCCTACTTCATTCCATGAAGACTCTATTGCCAGACCCTAAACAAGCAGATCTTTCTGGTGTCAAATGTTTTTGCAGACATTTGGGTATAACCTACGCATGTGCTGGAATGCCCTGATCTCTTTTGCACACTCTCTGTGTAGAGGTCACTCTCTCCGCCGGTGCTCTGTGCCTTCCCTGGGAGCATCTACAGCTGGGTTCGTTTGCCCAGTGCCTGCCCTATATAGATGTTGGCCCTTCCTGAAAACCCACCTTGCATGGGCCATGCCTGTCCAAATTTGGAATCTGTGACAGAAGTCCTTAGTGGAGAGCCTTAAATGCTAAAGCCAACGTGTTTGTACTTCGAAGGGAGAGCCACAAGAAGTTTTTGAGTGCGCAAGGACACAAAATCAAAGTTACAGATTAAACTAATACCACGTGTGGGATGGACTGGAGAGTTATACTTGGGTGTGATATAATATCAGTTTCCTTAGCCTTTTCACATTGCCTCCATTTCCATGTTCATAATCACCTTGTGTGGTCATTTCGATGCCTGTTCCTATATTCTCTACAATCCTCTTTAGTTTTGGAGTCAAGACCCGGATGTTATATTCCTAACAGGGTGTATCCAGTTCAAGCATTTACGTAGCACAGGATCATCGTTGCCTGTCTCAGTGTTGGGGGACATTTGACATAATATTCTATGCAGCTAATACACCCTCTAATTAGGGTAATTAACCATTTCAGTTTGCTTGGGACTATCCTAGCTTTTGCACTCAAAGTCCCATATCCTGAGAACTTCTTCAGTCCTAGGCAAGCTGTGATAGTTGGTCACCCAAGTGTGGGCAAACCTGGGTGGTTGGTCGTCCTACATGTGAAGCCCTTTGAATCTAAGACCAGGACTGTCTTGTATGGCTGGGGAGCTGTGCACTTTACAGCTGCTCAATAAAATGTTGGCAACTCTGAAACCACTGGCCAGAATTAGGATACAACATATAGCCATCAAGAGGAGCTCAACCCGAGGCAGGGCTCACCCCCTCGTTAGCACCATATCAGTACTCACCAGGGCTCCTGAATACCTGCCCATGAAACTGAAATAAGTCTTACAGAGTAAGTCTATAGCTTGCTGAGTGAGAGCTAGGTTGATTTGACTCCCCAGGAGTCACCTTTTTAAAAAAGTCCTACATTCACAAGTAACTTGTTTTAATTGTACTTATATTGTAGGGTTACCTGAAGGTAAAACTTCTTAAAATCTACTTTCTCATCTCACTCTCTGTACCCATACATCTTGCATTCCAGAAGCTCCCCCTCCAACACACACATATACATTATTGATTATGTCACAAGATTTCAAATACTGAGTCATGATTGCATTAAATTTCCATCAACATTTTAAAATACAGCCTCCGAATACAAGACAACATTTATTTGTATTTTACTACATGCTCAAATATCCTGCATTCGATAAATAGCTGGAACAAGTTTCAAAAATTAAAAATAAAACAAAACACCTACTTTCCAGAAAAGCCTTTTCAGAATGAAGTTTTTCTGGGCTGCTACTTTAAGTTCTGTAATTAGACAAAGTATCTTCCTCAACGTATTGTCTTTAAGGAAAAGTTCAGATTTAAGTTGACCGAAGTGCTTAATTTTCTCCTCAGATCTACAGAAACACAAGAAAAAAATTTCCATGTAAAAAATGGTAAACGGCAGTTGAAGAATATCAACAATTATTGACAGGTTTGTAAAACTTTGTTTCTAATGGAATTTTAATATAGTTTTGTGCTTCTAGTTTTATTACTCATTAGTAATGGACCTTGCTTTCCCCAGATTGAGCTATTTATAACTCTCCAGGCATACTTTTGCCCGTGCCGTACTCAAGCTGTATCCACGTCAGCAATGCTCTCAGTGTCCCTAGGAAACTTGTCTCTCTTTCATAGTCTAGCTTGCAGTTTGCTACATACCATCTACCATACTGCCTGAGCCAAATGGAGTATTGTTTGCTTAATATTTTTTCTTTAAATCAACTCCCTTTGTGTGTGTGTGTGTGTGTGTGTGTGTGTGTGTGTGTAGAGAGAGAGAGAGATTATTCACAAAGAAAACTTTGTATCACTACTTTACAAGGAGAACCAGTGTCACGTGCCATAAATAGCAGGTAACTGTAAAAACATCAGGGAAGCAACACAGATTCTACATTGATGCGCCACATTCCCAGCCTGAGGCCTGCTCTCTCTTTGACAAAAAGGGAGATGAACATGTCTCAGAGAGCTCCCGCTTTGGGCACCAAGCCCAGAGGTTCTCCCTAATAAGACTGGACTAGTTGGAAAAGCAATCACTGTTCCACTGTGGAATTCAAAGTTGTTTCCTGCCATGTCAGAGTACCACATGCATTCATCTCTTGTCACTGACCTGCGTACGTTCAATACTTCAGGAAAAGCTGGCTTTGCTGAAGAGAGTAACACCTCCCCCTTAAAGCCTTCCCTGATTCTAGCATGAATGAGGACCCTCTCCTATAGCACTTTTCTCACACGTCTTATATATTATATATAACGTATATATAATATATAACACACATATATAATTCATATATATTATATAACACACATATATAATATACATATTATATTATATATTTATTATGTTTATTATATTATATGTTATATAGTATATATTATATTATAAGTATATATTATATGTATAATATATAATGTGTATTATGTATGTTATATGTTATATATGTGTGTTATATATTATATATGTGTTATATATTATATATTAATATATAAATATAATTATATTTATTTAATTGTATAATATGTATTTATTTAATTATATAATATAATTTATATATATATATATATTATATATCTTTTGCCCCATTGTTGTGATCATGTACTTGTCCTGGGCACTTTTCATGGACTAGCTCATGCAGTCCCACGAAGGGGGTACGGCTGGGAATTACTGTTATATTTATGGGATGTTAGAAAGGTTAAGTAGCCTGTCCAAGTTCATACAACTAGTGATTCAGAAGAGCAGGGTGCAAAGTAGTAGTAGAAGAGATGTTTCATATTCTGTGTAGGTCAGTGGAAACTTCCTAAAATTTCTGACTTGAAGTCAAAATATTTTTAAAAAATCTTTTTTAACATTTTTATTCACTTGTTGAGAGACAGAGAGAAACAGAGCGCAAGCAGGGGAGGGGCAGAGAGGGGGGAGACACAGAATCTGAAGCAGGTTCCAGGCTCTGAGCTGTCAGCACAGAGCCAGATGTGGGGCTCCAACCCATGAACTGCGAGATCATGACCTGAGCCAAAGTTGGACGCTTAACTGACCCAGCCACCCAGGAACCCGAAAGTAAAAATATTTTTACCACCTACTCCAACCTTAGTACCAGCCATTTATCCCAATACTACTGCACGGAATCTTGGCTCTTGCCTACTACCTCCCCTTTTATTTAAAAACACTATGATTTTCTCTTCTATCCAATCACTGAGCCTTTCTTAGTAACAAAAACAGGAAGACTTCCTGAAAAACAGTCTCTTTTCCAGTGGAGAGTCTGCAAGAGAAATGATCAAGAATTCAGGGACAGAAGTCAGAGGCAGAAGAACATGATTATAAATATGGGGTTCAGATTCTAGATCTGCCTCTCTTTACCTGAGTAATTACCATGGGCAAGTTACCTACTCTCTGTGTGCCTCAGTTTCCCATCTGTAAAATAGGTATTATCATACCTACCCCATCATTTTGATACTTTGGTTACTACATGTGCTTAGCACATGGTAAATATTTAATAAATAGTTTGTAAATAAAACGAACGAGCTTTGAGATCCCACTTCCCTATACATCCACTTCTAATTACAATCCCATTTCATTTAAAAAATACTATAAAATCCCTCTGTTCTCTGAGAACTCCAAAAACAGCAGCAATGTAGTTTTCACAAACAAGTGAGCTTAGAAAACCACAAGCTCAGAAAGCATACCAGCAGAATTACTTTCCAATTGACTTTCCTATTTTTCCCAATAGTCGACAATTTGCTGAGATTCACATAGGGACAGTTTTTTTTCCTTTGGCACCTATGATAATAGACTGAAATACCAAACTTACAAAAAATTTTTTTTTCATAAGAAAAAACACACTAATCTCTTCATACTAAAAATCAATTCATATGTAAATTGAGGTCTCATATACATCATAAATACAAGTTAGATTCAGGAGTCTATATTTCTGTAGAGACATTGATATAATCACAGTTTCTCTGCCCAGAATATTTGTTTTTACATAGATGATGATAAACTGTACTTGGCTAATTTAAATAATAAAAAGTTTAGCGCCAGAAGACTCCATTATTCAATTTAGGAATAAGGGGAAATGTTACATTAATTTTAACAGATATTCTATATTTTCATCAGCTAGAAAATATAAATTCACTCAAATAATGTAGCAAGAAGGATTCTTGATCTAATGATAAGCTCTATTTTTCCCATATGTTTTCATTTTTGGAGGGGATATTCTACATAAATAATACATTTTTATAATGATTTACAGCTGGAAAAGGCTTTTCATACATTATCTCAGAAGCACTGTGTATATGTTCACAATGGTCCCTATACATCCATGATGTTACAGGACTCACATTTGTGACAGAGTTCTAATTTGAAACCCAAAGAATGTTTACTCCTTTTAAACTGAAGGTGCCTTGCAGGCAGAGACCTGTCTTATATATCTTGTACATAGACCACATTCTTCATAGTGCATTTTAAATCACTGCATTTTAAATGTGTTGCCTTCGGGAATTAACTTTGTAAGAAATACGCTTTTCATGAGTCAAGAGAGTGGTAGAACTCAACTCTCTTTCTGGCCTTCAAGGATAAATTTCAAGCCACACATATACAGAGAGATAAAGCCTATTTTATTATCCAGTCAGTTTTAAAACCACTTTAAATAAAGCACTAAAATTAAAACTGATACTTTTTTGCAGTAAACATATGAAAACAGATAGAAATTCTAAGCTGTCTGTATTACCATCTTTTAAAAACTAAATCACAAACATCCTTACTTTACCCCTACATACCTCAGAACATACCTCAAAATAAACATTTTCTTACAAAATCATCGTCACATCTGTCAAAATTATCAATAATTCTTTGCTATGGGCTAATACCCAGTCCACATTCAGATGTCCTCCATTGTCTTAAAAATGTCTTTTTAGGGGCGCCTAGGTGGCTCAGTCAGTTAAGCATCGGACTCTTGATTTTGGCTCAGGTCATGGTCTCACAGTCATGGGTTCAAGCCCCATGGTGGGCTCCATGCTGGCAGTGCAGAGCCTGCTTGGGATTCTGTCTCTCTCTCTCTCTCTGTCCCTCCCTTGTTCTCTATCTCTCAAAATAAATAAATAAACTAAAAAACTTATTTTAAAAATGTCTTTTATTTTTGGTTTGTTGAAATCAAGATATAAGTAAGATACTTGTTATATTTGCTTATTATGTTTCTTAAGCCTTCTTAAAACTTTTATTATAGAAATTTTTAAACATACACAAAAATGGAGAAAGTTGTATAAGAAACCCCATCTATCACCTAGATTCAATAATTTTTAACATTTTGCCAGTCTTGTTTTATCTATTCCCTTAAACACGTATACACACACCTTACCTGTTTTAAAACTGAAATAAAATATATATAACATAAAATTTATCATTGTAACCATTTTTAGGTATACAAATTAAGTGCATTCACAGTGTTGTATAACCATCACTACTATCCATTTCCAGAACTTCTTCATTTTCCCAAACAGAAACTCTGTACTAATGAACAGTAGGTCTCCATTTCCCTCTCCCCTCAGCTCCTAGTAACCTCTCTTTTATTTTCTGTTTCTATGAATTTGCCTATTCTCAATGCCTCCTATAAGTAAGTGGAATCATACAATATTTGTCCTTTTATGTGTGGATTCTTTCACTTAGCATAATTTCTTCAAGGTTCATCCATCTTGCCACATGTGTCAGGACCGCATTCCTTTTGAAAGCTAATATACCCACACTTTAAATCAGATTCATGTTTAATTGTTTTAACAATTTGTTCATTCATTCCATAAAGGCAGCCTACTGTGTGCCAATGACCAAGGTACAGTCTTGGCCCTTAAGGGGCATAGTACATAATAGGGCAGCACATAATCAAATAAGCAATCATAAGATAGGCTGTTGAGTCCTAAAAGATGGTAAGCACAGAATGTTCTAGAGGGGCCCCTCCTAATGTAGTTCTGAGAAATGATTTTTAGAGAAAGGGATAGCAAGCTAAGTCTTGATGAGTTGAAGTTATTCATGAAGGAGAAGAAGAATAGAGAGTAGGGTTCCAGGATAGAGGAAAAAACAAACAAACAAAAAAACCAGGGAGCTTTCTGAGAACTGTGAGATCATTTGGATCAGGTGGTTAGAGCAGGAATTGAGGGGACACAACAGCTGAAGATGGAAAGATGAAAAGACACATCAGAAAGATCTTTATAAGCTGCTGTAAAGTTTAGACCTTTTTCTAAAGGCAATGGAGAGCCATTCAAAGACTTTAAGGGAGGGAGTTACATGATCAGATTTGTGCTTCCGAAAGATTTCTTTGTTGTTATGGAGAATGGTTTAGAGAGTGAAGGCAGAAGCCAGCTAGGAAAATACTGTAGGAGCTCAGAACAAAGGTAATTGGGCTGAGTATGTGACAGTCAAAGAAGTAGATGTTATCCAGATATAATAGAGAAAAGCAA